GGTACAGCATCTGCCTAATAAGAGAAGACCAGACCTCCCTCTCCCCGGCTACCTTCTCCAGCATGTCTGGGGGAACACCAAGGCATTCCCAGGCCAGCCGAGAGATATAATCTCTCCAAAGTGTCCTGGGTCTGCCCCGGGGCCTCCTCCTGGTGGGAGATGCCCAGAACAACTCAGCCAGGAGGTGCCCAGGAGGCATCCTTGTCAGATGCCCGAACGACCTCAACTGGCTCCTTGCGATGTGGAGGGGCAGCGGCTTTACTCTGAGCCCCTCTCGGATGGCCGAACTCCTCACCCTATCCTATCTGTAAGGGAGAGGCCAGCCACCCTTCGGAGGAAGCCCATTTCTGCTGCTTGTATCCGCGATCTCGTTCTTTCAGTCACCACCCACAGCTCGTGACCACAGATGAGAGAAGGGTTGTCGGTCAACTGGTAAATTGAGAGCTTCGCTTTTACACTCAGCTCTCTCTTCACCACGATGGACCGATAGCCGCATCACTGCAGTTGCAGCACCAATCCATCTGTCAATCTCCTGCTCCCTTCTCCCATCCATCCATCCATCCATCCATCCATCCATCTTCTTCCACTTATCCGGGGCTGAAATGTGGGAGCAGCAGCCTAAGAAGAGAAGACCCCGACATACTTAAACTTCTCCAATTGGTGCAGGAACTCCTCCCTGACCCGGAGTGGGCACTCTATCCTTTTCTGACTGAAGACGTTAGCCTCAGATTTGGAGGTGCTGATTCTCATTCCCACGGCTTCACAGTCAGCTGCCACCTGTTCCAGTGCGAGCTGGAGGCTATCACCTGATGAAGCAACAGAACCACATCATCTGCGAAAAGCAGAGATGAGATTCTGAGACCACCCAAATGAAAGCCTTCCGCCACTTGGCTATGTCTAGAAATTCTGTCCATAAAAAGTGCGAACATAATCTGTGACAAAGGGCATGCCTGGCTGAGTCCATCGCCTAAGTTGGTCCAACTTAATGCCAGCTATGTGGACCAAGCTCTTGCAACAGTTGTTGGGCCAGACACCCCATACTACATGCCGCATTTCCCATAGGACACTCTGAGGGACATGGTCAAATGAGTTCTCCAAGTCCACAAAACACATGTATACTGTTTGGACAAACTCCCATGCACCCTCAGATATCCTTGAGAGGGCAAAGAGCTGGTCCAGTGTTCCATGACCAGGACAAAAACCGCATTGTTACTCCTGTGTCCGAGATTTGACTAAGAGATGGACTCTCTTTTCCAGCACCCTGGCAAAGACTTTCACAGGGAGGGTTAGGATTGTGATCCCCCTATAGTTGAAACACATCCTCGGGTCCCCCTTCTCAAAGATGGGAACCACCACCCCAGTCTGCCAATCTCCTCTGTGAATCGCTACCTTGATTTGGTGGAGGGGTTTGTGAGTACCAGGGATCCCGGTGGCTATGTTGTTGGGGGGCTTTTGCCACCAGTACGGTCTCCCATGGCAAATTGGTCCTGGGTGAAGGACCAGATAAAGAACTATTCAAAACACTCTGAGTATAAGATCA